TTAAGCGATTCTCTTGCCTCAGCCTCCCAAGTATCTGGGACTATAGGCGCCCGCTACAAGGCCCGGCTACATTTTGTTGCAGTTGTCGTTGTTTTAGCTGGCCCGGGCCGGGTTCGAACCCGCCAGCCTTGGCCACTGTGCTATGGGCGCTGAGCCATTTCTCCCTTCTTTTCCCTCCCTCATTCATACACACATTTCTCCTGCTCCCCTCCCCCACTCCAGAAAGCCCAAGGACTAAGGAGTAGTCAACATAGGTGGGGCCCTAAGAGGGAGAAGGATTTCCTGTAAGTTTGGGCCTGAGGGAGCTTGTAGGTGAGAGAGCTAGGGAAAAGCTGTTTTCTGGGCTTTTTTTGGAGAAAAGAATGCTCTTTGTTCTTGGAGAGTTTCCTCAGGGGGCAGGTGAAAGTAGAGGCTTTGTGAAGAAGCTGAGCAGCTCTGGCTGGAGAGAAGCTCCCTGGGTTGGTGAGTGGAGAAGGGAGCCCAGGACAGATATTTAGAGCTCTCTAAATTGTCCCCAGAGGTTTCAGGTGGTGGCTATTTGGTAGGCCCTGCGGGGGTTCCTACGGTTTTACTCTACTGTGGGTCACAGTGCTGAAGCTTCCGTCGTTTTTGATTCCTTACTTTCCACTTTGAAAATTTATATCTTAAACAAAGAAAAGGGCTAATATGCCACAGAGGAGTTAGTATCTTAAGTTACTAAGCTCTCAGTATGAAGAATTTGATAAGATCCTTTTCCATGGTGACAGAAGGAATTGGGATTTGGAGGATTTGGATCGTCTGGGGGAAGATAGAGAAGGTGGCTGGGTGCAAGTCTTTCTCCAAGTAATTTCTGGAAGTTGGAAAGAAAGGCAGAATGGGAAGGTGGTGTGCTAAGGAATACAGCCCTGCCAAGCTTTTAGGCACTGCTTCAGGCACATTTGCCCTCATTGTGCCCCTTATTTGTAAAAAAAAAACTTAAAGTGGAAGTCACAAACATAGAATTGACCATTCACAGTGTACAATCCAGTGGCATTTAGTGTGTTCACAGTGTTGTGCAATCACCGCCTCTCTCTAGTTCCAGAACTTTTTCATAACCTGAAATTGGTGCCTGCTACATAGTCACTCCCCATTCTCCCTCCTTTCCCGGATCCCTCAGCAACCACTAATCTGCTGGCTGTCCCTATGGATTGACCAGTTCTGGATATTTCATGTGAATGGAATCATACAATATGTAAGCGTCCTTTTACTCATCATAATTTTTAAAGATCCATCTACCTCATAATAGAGGAGGTATGACAATTAAGTCCACGAACTTGTCCTAGAAAAGTGCTGCATACCTCACTGCTGAATATCACCACCGTCACCATCAGAGTGTAACCAGAATCTCTCTCTCTGCCATGTTCTGGTCTCAGAGATTCAAAGAATGAATCCATGGGCCACAAGTAAGCAAAAGGATAGATTTTATTGATACATAAGAAGAAAAGGTAGATAAAGCCTCCAATGCTGCAGAGGGGCCTTCCATCTAGGGGTTTATATGCAGCTTTTCCTGCCCTGTGGGCAGGAGGGTTTGGGGTGATGGAATATATTTCCAAAATATGTCACAACTGTTTAGTGCCAAGGGCCTGTGGGCAGAACTTAATTTTAAAACTGCCCTTGTGTCTTTTTTAGGGTGTATTCTGTGCTCTGGGAGTGGCAGCTTAGAAGGAACACTTGCTCAAACTGTTTCTCTTATTTAGGGTCTCTGATCAAGCTAATCATTCAGCTTGCTTAGCCCAGAACATGGGGCCCATGTCCATCCCTGAGTGGTGGAACCTGCATCAGAAGTACTCCCCTTGGGAAGCTATGCGCTAATGCCAGCGCCTAGGCCACCCTTCAAAGCACTTTGTCTAGGATGAGTTTGTGAACTTGTCAGAGCTCATATGATAACAGCTCTGATGGCCATTCCAGAAAAAGAGATCCAAAATTGCTTTGAAGGGTGGACTACGTTCTGGTGTCCATCCATACCTTCCCAAGGGGAGTACATCAAATGCCACTGTAGTGATATTAGCAATGAGGTATGTACCACATTTTCTAGGGTGAGTTCACAAACATAATTGTCTGTTCTGGTATATCAGTGTTTATTTCTTTGTGGCTGAATAATATTCCATTATATGGACATACCACATCGTGTTTATCTTTTTATCCACTAATGGACATTTGGGTTATTTACACCTTTTGGCTATTGAGAATAATGCTGCTGTGAACATTTGAATGCAAGTATTTGTTTGACTGTTTCCAGTTCTTTCAGGTATATACATATTGGTAAAATTGCTGGGTTGTGTGGTGATTCTATGTTTAACTTTTTGAGAGACTTCCAAATTGTTTTCCACAGCAGCTGTGTCATTTTACATTCCTGCCAGCAGCATATGAGGGTTCCAATTTCTCCACATCCCCACCAACACTTCATAAATATATATATATATATATTCTGGTGGGTACAAAATGTCATCTCACTGTTTTTACTTGCATCTCCCTAATGACCAGTGATGTTGAGCATCTCTTCATGTGCTTGTGGGCAATTTGCATATCTTCTTTGGAGAAATAGCTATTCAAGTGCTTTGCCAGATTTTTCTTTTTTTCTTTCTTTTCTTTTCTTTCTTTCTTTTTTTCTTTTTTGAGACAAAATCTCACTGTGTTGCCCCAGCCTAGAGTGCCATGGTGTCAGCTTAGCTCACAGTAACCTCAAGTTCCTGGATTCAGGTGATTTTCCCACCTCAGCCTCCCAAGTAGCTGGTACTACAGGCACACACCACCATGCCCAACTAATTTTTCTTTTTTTAGTAGAGATGGGTTCTCACTCTTGCTCAGGCTGATCTCCAATTCCTGAGCTCATGCACAAGTAATCCTCCCATCTCAGCCTCCTAGACTACTAGGATTATAGGCATCAGTCACTGTGTCTCTCTTTGCCCATTTTTAAGCAAGTTTTTTGTTGTTTGTGAGTTGTAAGAATTCTTTATATACAGTGGACACTAGACCCTTATCAAAGATGTGATTTGCAAATATTGTCTACCATTCTATGAGTTGTCTTTTCACTTTCTTGATAATGTCCATTGAAGTACAAAAGTTCTAAATTTTGATGAAGTCCAATTTGTCTATTTTTTTCTTTTGTTGCTTGTGAATTTGGTGTTATATCTAAAAACCTATTGCCAAGTTCAAAGTCATGAAGATTTTTCCCTATGTTCCTTTTTAAGAGTTTTATAGTTTTAGCTCTTAGATTTAGGCCTTTGATCCTTTTTTTTTTTTTGTAACAAAGTACAGCTTAATTTTTTTTCATATAGATTTGCAGTTTTCCCAGCACATTTTAAAGTTGAAAGGTCTATTTCATCATTTTATGATTTTGACTCTTGTCAAAAATCAGTTAACCACAGACATATAAGTTTAGTTCTGGATTTTTAATTTCACTGTTATCTTTGATCTCTAGAGGAAAAAGGGATTTGTTGATGGTTTGTCCTGATAGATGCAGGATGGGCCTTTATCGCTAAGAAGTGCTTTTGCACAATTACTTTCTTCTGTCTTCACTGTTACTACCTCTTGAGGTAGGTAT